CAAATGATTAATGTATATTCAAAAGTACAATAGTTTGGTTCACTGTCAGTTTTTATTAGAAATGAACATATTTTGGAAATATTAATTGAAGACTTGTAAGTTTGAACATTGAAATAAGTGTTGAACTTAAAATAACGCTTTATAAAATATGACACCGTTCAAGGCAACGGACAATAATGTGTTTTTATAGGCTGTTGGAATTTAAAATTTATGAACTAATTTTCTACGGGTGTACGCGAACTTTGTATTAGTGAGTCTATTTTGGGTGACTTTTATTAAACCTTTGTAATGTAGTCTAGTCTTTATTTGATTTTTTATGAAAAATAGCACATAAACAAATTATCAATCAGCTATTCAATGCTGATGGCGCAAAAGACAACATCAAATATTGTATAAATCAATTAAAATTATCTCTATACAAACAGTAAAATCCTAAAAAGATAAAGTAAGAAGTGCAAGAAAATATTTACAATACAAAGGCACAATGAAATCAGCATACATCATATGCACCTTAGCAATTGCATAACAGTATCTCTTTGAAGATAACTAATTTTGAATCGTTATAATTAAACTGAATATTTATATAATGTTTTCCAATGTTATGCGCATGCTTCATTGTATTTATTTTATCAGAAATTACCTCGTAGAACTCAACTTAAACCAGCGAAAATAAAGGTGAATCAAATATATGGGGTATACATTTTGTACTCTAAATATACAGCAACCGACAACAAATCCAATATTGCGGATAATATAAGACATATAAATGAGGTCTGTAAAAGTGTTTGGGAGTACCATTAGATAAATTTGAATTCATTTATGAGAAAAATAATATCGTTTATCCCAGAAAACGTTTTTCCTTACATTTAGATAACCAGAGATGAGTCTTTGTTAAACGTTGATACTTTGTAATAAACGGTCCATAAAACAACAAACAGGTTACATGGGAAAAGAGTTCGATGCAAGTACTAAACATATATCTCAAATACTATTAGTGTTGTGTCATTTTATCATTTATTTATGATTCAATTACAAATTTGGACTAAGACATAATATTTCACTCAATTTACTGAGATGTTAGTTAGACACGGTTGAGTTAAGGTCTCGGTTTAAATTAGTGATTTTAGCATAAATATACATTTTATTGTAAAAAAAGAAATTTTACTTATTTATTCTCAAAAATATCATGCTACTGGTTCACTTGTGTCAGCTTCCTCTTTGGAAATATGTGATGAGTCAGTATGAGCATTTGTCATTACTTGGCGTCCGTCGTCTATCATCGTTTGTCGTCGCCATTCGTCTGTTAATTTTTAAAAATATCATCTCCTTTGAAACTGCTTGGCTAAATTTAACCAAACTTGGCCACACTGATCTATGGAGTAACTAGTTAACAAAAATTGTCCGATCACCCCGCCTGCCGACAAACATGACCGACATGGCCCAAATTAGAAACTTGAAGTTAAATGCAACATTTGTCCATCATCTTGATAACTCATAAAGATAAAGAAAATCTGACGGATCAAAAATGTTCAAAATGATGAGATCTACCTAAAGTGCATTGGCATCAAAATATTGTCATTAAACGACGAATTTTAACACTTTGTTTCGTGTTTGCTTATCATCACGAAAATCATTATAGATAAACAGAATTTTTAAATAGCAAAAATTACAAAATCTACAAACAAGTCAAATCATCTATATTGTCAGTCAACTCCTGAATGAGGTAATTATTGATGTCGATTTTCCCAATGTTTCCATTTTTGCCAATTATCTAGATAGATATAAACTTTAAAATGCAAAAGTCATCAGCAAAACAAGATCTATAAATGAAGCATATGGCCGAAGTATTCAGTCGATCAGTTATTGGGGAGTTATTGGCCTTTTATGATCATTTTAAAATTTGTTTGCATTTTTTGTGCTTATTTTCTTGAAAATTATAATCCATCAGGAGAAATTTTAAAATGAAAAATCATCATATGATAAGATCTACAAATATTTCAACATGACTGAAATTGTCAGTTAATTCTTATTAGAGGTTTTCGCCCTTAAATGATGATTTTTAATGAAAGGTTCGCATTGTTGAAGATGCAGGTGAGCGACAGAGACTCTTTCTAAAATTGATAATGGAAATGGGGAATGTGTCAAAGAGACAACAACTATTATCTCTAGCCTTTGTGTGTTTTTATATTGATCAGTCAAATGAACATTCTACCCTTATATCATGTTAATATGTCATTGAAAGTAATATGTTATCGTTCCTTTATACTGTTTTTCTTAAACATAAGGTCATGTTTCTGAAAGACCGCTCTCTCTTTCATTTTGTATTTTAACTTAAAACATTGGTGCAAATATAAAACACATATTTGTTAATGGAATTGTATCTAATACATACAATGAAAACCGATTTCATTTAATTATAAAAAAATGATGTAATAGATAACAAGATAAAACAAATTATTGACTAGTTATACCATTTTCAAAAAGAACTATCGCAGTAACTGAAGTTAAATTCATTTAATAACATAACTGTTTAGCTTAATTACTCATGTTGCAACATGAAATATTTCAAAAAAGATATACAACTATATGGTAACCTTCAACAATCTTTCTTTAACCATGTTATTGTCAGACTGAAATGTCAAAAATAAATAATCCGATATTATTATTTTTATCTTTGATAGCTAAGATTGATTTATATAAGTCAAACACTATTGAATAGTTCAATATGGTAGTTAAGGTGGCTGGGGTGTCTTAATTAAAACTGATAGAACGTTTTGATAATTTGTCAAAATGAAGTTTTTATCATGCTTTTTTCAAAAATATCATAAAAAGGATGGGTCACCGGACTTTTTTTCAAGCTACAGGTTGTGCAAAATTGTCAGATTTTGTAAAGATTATGCATGGAAAATCAAATTTTGTGTGATAAAAAGAAAACTACTTGATAGAACTTCAAGAAAAAATGTGAGAAGATAGCTCTTATAATGTCATTATGCTATTGTTCTATTATAAATTTGAAAATACTTTGAACGACAACCGACAAATTTATTTTACTCGCGTAGTGGTATTTACCATATGTGGATTCTTAAAAATTCTAAAGAACTTCTGGACAATTTTAAATCTCGGTCTATTTCTGAAATTAATTCTAACATAACTTTTGATTTTTTAACCCTGTATACCAACATTCCCCATGTGAAATTATAAAATTGTTTTGAATAAACATTGAATGACAAACTTTTTTCTTATGTGACGTTTACATTTTCTGACGTCAGACACGCGAAGCAATGAATGTGGTTTTTAATTTGATAGATGCTTTTGTGTTTTTTTTGTAAATAATTGTTTGTTTTGATATTGTAACACAGTGATGACTGCTGTACCCATATTTTGACTATTCTATTTATAATGTCTGTTTTGTTCACGCATCGTTGTAAATATAACGGAATTTGATAAGACTGTCGTACAAGTGAGAGGTTTGCGCTATAAAACCAGGTTTAATCCACCATTTTCTACATTTGAAAATGCCTGTACCAAGTCAGGAATATGACAGTTGTTGTCCATTCGTTTGATGTGTTTTGTCATGTGATTAGGGACTTTCCGATTGAATTTTCCTCGGAGTTCAGTATTTTTGTGATTTTACTTTTTATAACATGCTTTCAGATAAGAAAAAGAAAAAATGGGGTCACCGAACTTGTTTTCTTGCTATATATCAAAATAGGTAAATTCACAACACTTTCTATTATAAAATTTACTTTATCTGAGTTATCTCCCCTTATTTGGCAAAGTTGAAAAAAATCTAATCAAACACAAAGGTGTTTTTGAGAAATTACAGCCGTAATTATGATAAAACATACAATTTTCTATATTTACATCAAAAGTCTTTTATATAAATTACATACTATTCTCAAAATTTGCACATTTCATCAAATATCTATACCAACGTTATCTGCTACTTCAAAATCAAAGATGGAGGATGACACCCAAGCCACCTTAATACAGTAGATAAAATGAATTTCTTTGTAAATTGTACAAAAACGTAATCGACATAAAGATATTTTACTATTATAACAGTTGGCAAACAGATGATCAGACCATTGTGACAGTATTATGACAATGAAATATTTGAATACTACTATTTTGCTTCACAATTGTACATGTATGATATCTTATTATATGGATATATGATAAATAGTATTTAGATTTGATATCATATTGTTTACCAATATTTTGAATTTCAATAATGAGTTATTGTACATATTCACTAACCATGGTAACTTTATCTAGTTTAAGCACCAATTTTAAAAACGATAGAAGTTACTTACGACGATATTTATATTAAAGATGACGGTTTGTTACGTTTAAAATATCTATTTTTTTTTTTACTTTTATTTATTTCAAACAACGGTGTAGTACGAAAAGATTAGGATATGTTTTGCCTTGATGTTCGTCAAACATAAGTTGCTATCTAGTAATATGGAAGTCATTCAAAAAATGTATATACTGTTAATTAAATGAAGTGTTATACGACACAAGTGATTTAGGGTATCTGAATGCACTACTGTATAATTACTTCTTGCTTCTCCAAAAGTTGCTAAGGACAATATGTAACTATTTAAAAGAAGAAGTAATGCAAAGCAAAATATTAACCGGAGTTATTGTGTATTGAAATAATTTAACGAAAAATGACTGAAAGTTCATTCTTTGTTGTTGTTTATTTTCATAGAAATATTTTAATATGTAAATTATCAAATTGTAATAAAAATGTTGCCCTTTTACCTTGTGACATTATTTTCAATTATCATTATGCATGGTGCAAAGTATTATCATCAGATTGACTCCATATAGGTATCATAAACTTATTTTCATTATATCAAAAGTACGCACACACAAATGTTTAAACGTTAACAATAGGAGCATCATTCAATGGACATTAAACAGAAAAATGTTACTTTAAATGGGAAAATGAACCATGTCGGCATGGAAAAAATGTATTTTGCAACTTTGGCAAATTTGAAAGAAGATGGCATCTATACAATTCGGAAACAACAGACTTTCTCGCTAGAATAAGCAAAAGTTAGAAAAAGCAAAATCACTCAAAATCGGAATTAATTTTGTATATACAATTAAAAGTTAATGTATTTGAATAACTACACATTTTGGTAAAAGCCGACAACATAATGTAGAATAGCAAGTAATGGTTTACCCAAGATTTAACTTAAAAGTACTTTTTGGTAAAAGCAGTGTTTTGTGATTGATTTTTGTAATGTTTGATGTAGGTGTTTTTGCATTTTAGTTCACGCAGACCTACATACATAGCTATAAGGGAAGGCCTCAATTTGATTAATTATTATCAAGTATGATTATCATGTTTGACCGTGTTGTCTCCTAAATGTATTCAAACAATAAAAGTTGTACTGAAACACAACTTCGCAATTATATCATGAACTTAAACCTATCAGATGAACGCATTATATCCAATGTCATTGTCAAATATAGTTGATAAACATGAGTTTCCGAAAATTGTCCTTTAAAAGAAACATTGAGTGTATCGTATATATATAAATATAATTCAGAACTAAAATTTTACGCATGCTCAACTTATATAAGAAGTTATTTTTGCTGATGTAGAAACTCATTGGACGAATAAGAGTCTTGTGAACAGGTAAGACGTATTGTAACTTTTATGGTATAAATAGGGATATTCTAGTATCAATTAAAAATTTTCTGATTTTATTGTTTTTCATTATTCAAATTGTTTTATTATATAAATTGATATCAAGTAAACTCATCATAAAGGGGTAGATATCTAGTTTGATTATTATGTTTGACATGATGAAGCCACTGAACAGCCTTTTTCCAAATTTTAATATATATCCAGTAAAGTTAAGTTTTTCTAAGATACTTCATTTTGTAAACGATAATTTCCATAGCAATTTTAAAAAAGAGATAAACAAAATGAAAAGACTCTTTCTACCTAGTGGTGAATATGGTAGCTGTTTTTCAATTGATCCGTTGATTGATAGCGTTTTTTTTATCGATTTTAAATTGCCTTTGAGATGAGTATTTTATCATACTTTTCTACCTTATTCATTCCATGTATTGGTTTTAAAACATCAACAATTAAATGTAACAATTTAGCTAAAGGTTCTGGGCCTGGCAATTGTGATATCACTTTGAAATTCATGATATTTGCGATTGACGTATTTTACGTTGGTAATTTTATACACAGTTGTACAAAATTAAATATGAGCGATATGTTTAATTAACAATAGTTTCTTTATTACCTCATGCGTAAGACGTACGGTCTGAGTTAGAAATATATATAAAACAGGCAACAGTAGTATACCGCTATTTAATAGTCATAAATCGATAAAACGAAATCAAATCAGGGTCACAAACCAAAACAGAGGGAAACACGTCAACTATAAGAAAAACAGAATAACAGAAACACTGAACTGCTACAAATGCTAAATGCTTTCGAAGGACACATTTCGGAAAATTATGTTTATCAACAATAATCTAATTTTGTATAAAACTATGTATAAAAGAAACAAGATAAAATACGTCAACCAAAACGAAATTAAAATACTTCATTTTGCCTTATTTGACTTGTGTATTGTTTTTCAAATATTAACAATTAAATGTAACTATAAAGCGAAATCTTTCTGGACCCAGGCAGCTTTGACATCTTTTATAATTGTGATCGACGTATTTCACCTTAGTTACTCTACACATATTTTTTTAATAATTTCAAATATAAGCCATATGATTAATCACATTTACATGTCTTTAGAAGTCCCCTTGACCCAAAGTATCAGCTTTTTTACAAAAAGTGTTTTGACAAATTTAAAATATAAAAGTACTTATATCTGTCAGACTAAACTATTTTGATATCTTGATAAATTAATTTCTATTCATAATACATTACATATTGGAAATTAAAGGGACAAAACATACTGAACTGGATAAAATCTAAACAGGATTATATTTCTAAACTGTGTTATTGCCTATCAGAACGATATATCTTTCTTTTGAAGTCTATCCAGACGATACCAAGTTTCAATGCAATCTGCGTCAAGGATGTAATAATTACATGTGTAAGGTCATTATAAATCTTAATTTAAACGCAACATTCTATTTGTTAAAACATTTGATTAATTTGATAGTAATTAAACGTTGTTGTCAATAGGGGTTTTACATTACAATTTTTCTTATGATCTTAAAAAGTTTTAGGTAGATACAATATTGTCCTCCTAAAATACCAAAGCAAAATGTTGTTAACGCAGGTTTATTTTCGAAACGAATAATCTGAGATCTTGGTGATTTATCGCTTAATTAGATAATGCGAAACTTTTCGTAACACTTTTTAAATAAACCAGATTTAATTAAAAAAGATAAAGGTAACTTTAAGTTGATTGTAGCAAAACGTCTGGCATGCATATGTATAAGCCTGGTAGCTTTATTGATTTATTTTATTTAGACTTAAGAATAGAAAAAAATGACGCCCAAAGTAAAGATCAAAACACAAATTTTGCAGATAGAGGGTAAAACAAATAAAGGAGTTGTCGTTTCTAATGTAGGTAAATCAAGAAAAAAGATTTTGACGCATGCAATTTATGTGTTGTTTTCACTTTTTAATGATGAATTTTCTAGCAAGGAAAGGGAGACATGGAAAAAAATAAATTGACGAAAAGAGTTAAAGATATAGAAAATGATGTCAAAAATATGGCAATAAGTGGACCAGATAGTAAAGGTACGATTTTTAATGAACGGAAGCAAGGAAAAGGTGATAAGAAGGAATTCACAATTCACATAAAACGTAACAAATTGGATAAGCATTACATTAAGAAAATTAGACCGTCTTCCTTCTTTTATGCTGGCTTAAGCATTTGAGAACTAACATGAAAAAGTACATACAAGAACAGGAAAGGAAAACAATGAGTATATAAGTGGCATCATGACGCAATCGAGGAAAAGGGGACGGAATAATGATTTCGACAATTTGAACATATACGTAATTGCAAAAAAATGAAAATTGAAAGATTGAAAAAAAACCTGTCAATACATTTGAATCTGGAAAATAGATTTTAATATTAACTTGACAAATTAAAGGTATAAAATGCCAATTGATACTTTACAAATGGAAATAATAAATTTACATTTTATTAGATACATTTTAGAACGAGATTTCATAAGGTCGTATTATAAAAACAAGTTATCAAGCAATAATGTTGTATCTTTCTGATAGTCTTTGTTAATTGATATTGAAGTACATGTATCCTATAACTTGTACTTTGTAGGCAGAGAGTGTTTGACAGAAAAGAATGCTGATACATGGCGTGTCCAAACGTAAATGATTTTTTAGCATTACTATTTTATAGATGTGAAATGAAAGGCCTTTTTTTCTTTGTTTGTTCATAAAACGTAAGGAAATAACCTTTGAAAATCAAAGTAAACTGTTCCTAGATATTATGTTAAAACTTTGTTTGACTTGTTCAAATCCTAAGGGAGAAGAATACTCAGATTAAAAAAAAAATTAATAAATAAAGCTGGCATATATATAAAAATATTGAGCAGGAAAAATAGCTTCGAATCTAAATACATTTTAGGCGTTCAACAACAAAAACGACTCCAGATGAACAAATTAAAAGATTAAGAATAATGTTTGAGTCAGTGGAAGATATGCTGAATTCTCCTGAATATGACAAAGACCTTCAAGATGAATTGTCTGCAGCGTGTCCAAACTACATGTCAGTTTTCTTAACATCAAAACGAGATTTATTGAGAAATGATTGTGGAATCGTCGTGACAGGTTGGTCAAGAAATAATTTTCAATCTACAGACATGTTTGTCTTTCTTTCTGTACCTTAATGAAACTCAAAATAAATATTGCATAATGATAACACTTTTCAGTACAGTTCAAAAATAAGTCTGCTATATTCTTTGGAAAGGAAATGGAATGTATCTCACAATTCTTACCAAAGGAAGGTTATTTTTGTACATATAACTCAACAGGTTTTCCCAATGATAAGGCTAGTTCAGTGACTTTGCAGAACTGAAGCATTATGAGACAACAATTTTTCCCCGGAAAAGAAATCGTTTAAAACGATAACATTTCAGTAAAATACAAATTCACACATGGCATATGCCTATTATTACATACATATATCATGTCGCCATCTATAAAATTAATTTAAAACCGCGAGCATTTGTTTTAACATCAACACAAAATGCGTCTTGAAGAACACTAAAGACCATGAATTTCCTTTTATTAGAAACTCTTTAACCTTAAACCTTAGCTATATTTGCCTGCATTATAGACATCAATGGCGGAAGAAAATCAACACGGGTAAAGTCAAAAATTATCTGTTCAGATGGGTCAATTTAACATTCATATAATAATTGTTAAAATCATTGTAAAACATAGATACATAATTATCTAACGAACGCCTTTTTAGGAGAAACAAGTGCTGGTAAAACAACTCTCATAAATCAACTTGTTAAAAAGAAGGTTTTCGTCACAAGTAATTTGGCAGCTACTGGTACCATCACCAGAATTCGGGACTCAGAAACGATGGCAGTAAAATGTTATACAAAAGACGAAACTTTAAAGAAGGAGGAAGGAGTACAAGATGTAAAAAAACTGAGATCTGTTATTAAAGGACTTACTGATATAAGTAAAATCCCGGAGGATTTAAAAGACATATATTATGTAGACGTCTACTTGCCAGTGGCAATTTCAAAGGTACAGTGTTTCAGGATATAATTGTTCACCCCCCCCCCCCCCCCCCCCCCCCCCACCCCCCATTCGTAGCTTTCATACAACGGTTCTTCCGATTACCATTTGTTGCGTTTTTCTGAGATACTACAAAGAAGTGCTTTCGATATCAATTTCATGTGAGCATGTTTTACTGTTAGATGTGTGTTAAGATTTATCGTTCATCCACTTTCTTTTAACCGAAAACTTATATAGTCTCACTCATAATGGTCATGTGTAATTTTGGTAGCGTTTTCCTAGATACTACAAAGAAGGCTTCCGAAAATTTGAAACCAAGCTTCATTTGAACATGCTATACTTTGTGATGTATTTCAGATTGATCGCATTTATTCTTTCACATAATGGAAATATTGGTTGCTTCAAACAAGGTTTTTCGAAATTTTGATGTTAACCTTCGTTTGAGCATTTTACACAGTGTTATGAATTTGTAGATTCATCGCTAACGCTTTTCCTGTGTATGCTTTTATAACAGAATATATTCTAACATATAATAGCCATGTATAACATTTTGGTTGCGTTTTACTCATGAACTCACATCAGTACTTTCTTCAAATAGGTACCGTACTTCATGTGAGCATGCTATCTTGTGTGATACATTTCAGGTTCATAATTTATCCACTTCCTGTTTACTGAATACGTATTTATTTGTACACATAATTGCTATACACATTTTGTTAGATTTTTCTCAGTAACTACATATCAGAGCTTTCTGAAATGTCTATCATGATAACAGTGTGCAGGACATCCTACTGGTTAACTTCTTTTCATAAATATCGTTAATAAACTTATGTTTGCCGAATGCTTATGCACTCTTTCAAACACTGGTGATTTAAGTAAATTTAAAGGAATTTTGGTCAGGAAATACACATTTAAGCTATCCTACTATTAGAATCAAGTGGTATGTAAGCACTCTATACTGTTTTTACATCTATCATCAATCAACATCTTGTTTACCGATTATTAAAGCGGGCGAGACGTAACTCAAAATTTAACAATCTTTATCGATCTAGACTCAACGACACTTGCTTGAAATATTTGTATGATACCTGTTCATTGTTAAAAATCGATAATGGTATGGTTTAAAATACCCCCTTAGTATGTCATCACCATAATTATACATAAAAGAACATTTCCTTCTTCGTTTAATAAGTAATTCTATGTCACAAATCGACGCATAACAATATACTGCAGTTCTGTAATTTTTGTAAAACAATTATAATTACTTTAGATCAACCCGGTTTATAATGCGGTTCCTGTTTCCAAATCTTTAGTTTTGCATACTGTTGATTGTCTTTTTTCTTTTTTAACATGGCGTTTTCAGTTTATTTTAGACTTATGAATTTTGAATATCACGTTGGTGTCTTTTGCCTCTCTTTTACAATCCTGGTATCTATGATGAGTTTATTCACAGATCTGCAAGTCCAATAAGGATATAACCTTTTCGGATTATTTTGAATATGAAACCAATGCTTTTTAAAATGATTTTACATATTAATAACTTGAGCTGCGTCGGATAGAACTCGACCTTATGCAAGTGATCGTATACATGTACATGTATAAGACTTTGATTTTTGAACATTCAAATACGAAATAAATGATGAAGTTAAGTCTGTTTGTAGATTTTAGTATAACAGCTCAGTTTTAAACAGTTACAGACTTTTCATAGAGATGTTTGCAACACGAAATATGTTAACAGATGTATCGATATTCTTATGCATAATGACGATTTCTATCCGACGCAGCTCACTTGACTTTATACTAAAATATGGTATCTCTAATGATTTTTGTTATTTGGTGGAAAATTTAGGATTAATAACTCCTCAACGATATACTAGGCATATAATTTGCTATCCCTGACTCGCGTTTCGTAACACGATTTGGCAACAATATACTTAACAGTAAAGCTATTGTTTAAAATTTCCTTCGGGAGTAGTGTTTTCGTTATTTGGAGGATTATGTGCTATTCGCTGATCTTTGGATGTTTTGTTTTTAATTTTTCCCCCTTAACTTTTATAGGCCTAGACAACGATTTCGTGCGTCAAACATTAAATGATAGTTGTCCACTGTCGAAGACCTTTTGTTTTTCTCTGAATGTCTTTTGAGATATTTGTCGTTGGTTTCTTGTATTTTTGTAGTATATTCCACATTTTTCATTTTTTATATATGTTAAATATAAAAGAGATTGTATGTTTAGTATTTTTTGTTAATCTTAACCAAAGGGTAATCTTTCATACTGAATATAACTTCTATTTTTGAATTTCAGGGAAACGTTGTTATTGTGGACACACCTGGTATAGGAGATAATGAAAAGTTGGACAATATACTTTTGGATTTCTTGCCACATGCAGTCTCTTTTGTGTTTATAGTAAATGCAAAAAATGCAGGTGGAATACACGAAGACAGGGTACACTTTTTTTGTCGATTGAATAAAAATTGTCATCAGCAATAATTATCATCAGCTCAGTAGTCAGTACTTCGGTACTGACATGATTTATAACAATCCTTTCTACAATTGTCGGTTTATAGATTTTAAAATTATAAAGAAACTAAGGTTTCAACTCCCTCAGGCAAAGTTGGTCTTAGATTTGGCTATTCCATTATGTTATTTTTGGTCATATAGCTCTTCAATTGTTTCGGTTCTGATGAACCCTTGGCTTTCAAATATTTGGCTTTGAGCGTTCCTGAAGAAGGTAAATCCAGAAAAGCGCGTACGACACATGAAATTCATATAACGTGTTGTTTTCTTTTTTTACATCACTGGGTCAATACCTCTGCTGGTGGACTATCAGTCCCCGAGAGTATCATCAACTCAGTAGTCAGTACTTCGGTACTGACATGATTTAGAACAATCCTTTCTAAAATTGTTCGTTTATAAATTTGGAAATTAGAAAGACACTAAGGCTTCAACTCCCTCAGGCAGAGTTGGTCTAAGATGGATTTGGCTATCTTATTAGGTTGTTTTGGTCATTTAGCTTCAATTGTTTTGGTTCTGATAAACCCTTGGCTTTCAAATATTTGGCTTTGAGCGTTCCTGATGAAGGTTAATCCAGAAAAGCGCTTCGGACGCACGAAGTTTATATAATGTGTTGTTTTCATTTTTTTTTATGAGAGTCAAGGCATTCTCCTCTACCTATCAAGTTTGACGTGGGTTCTTTTAGTTTAGACAGGAAAATAAAACACAAAAGACTTCAATTTTTATGTAAAGAAAAAATTATATATCTTTAAAGAATATTTAAAAATAAAATGAACACTTGCATATTTACATGGTTTACAAACTTATTCATACTTATAAGAAAATAACAATCACAATACTTGCACAAATTATCACATTTATCAATACAGATGATTTTTTCAGCTTTCAAAAATTTTGAAAACAATCATGGACAATCGAGAAAACATGCCTTGCTTTGATCCAAGGGAAGTCATGTTTCTAACGAATCAGTGGGATATCATCGACAATGACGACTCCTTATCAGACGACGACGAAGACGAAGAAAGCGAAGAAGATGATCAGCATACACAAACATGGAAGCTCATTCAAAGCAAATTGAGCAAGGGCTGGGGTTGGTTTAATGTTGAGAATGTATTCCGTATAAGCTTAAAACAGGTAAATCATTTATGTGTTTGACCATAACTTTCTCAATGTAGGCATTATGTTGGCACTATGTGTTTCAATGAATGAACTTTAATATAGAATAAGGGGGAAGAAAAAACAATAATTTGAAAAAAAATGAGTCTTCACCTATAGAAAGGAAAATAAAAAGAAACTGACAGTAGAAAACACCATTGCAAAAAAAAAAGACATGCTCGTGTTCAAACAATCTACGTAGAAAATTGATAATTAAGCGACAACAACCCAAGTGAATACTTGGAATGGACTGTTATACGCGTGCATTAACGCCAAACATTTGTTATTTATATTTAGAAAATACATTTTGGAAATTACTCCGCAAGTTTAAAAGTAACATGTTGTGTCTTAGTTAGATTCAAAGTTTTAAATGTTCATTAAATTAATTTTTTTTTTCGAAAAAAGTTTAAAACATCAAAATAACATTAATGCAAAAACTGATTATTTTTTTCAACATTTAACAAGAATTAAAAGAAGTTTTATCTGTGTTGATCTAAGAACAAATCTTGTTTCTATATCAATCGTAAAAGCAAAAATTGCAATTTGCAGTGTAGAATTTTTGTTTGACATAACAGATTAAAAGCGCAAAATGCTCTCATCTGCAGCATTTAATTTTTTTTCATACATAAAACAAATTCTAATATGACGTGCTTCTTTCGCTTTGTAAACAACACCGTGATAAAATTCTCGATATATCTATACTTAGCGCAAACTCAGAGTTATACATAATAATGGCTGTTACAATTTACCTCCCACGTAAACCTACATGTATCGTATGTGTAAACGGTACGCCGAATTCACTGTGTTAAAAATTGAAATTGATAAAAAAAACTACAGAACCTTTATTCTTATTTGGATGCATAACAAAAAGAATTATTGCCAAATGTTTAAAAAACGTCTTGTTTATCGCACCTAGTGCACATGTATACATGCATAACAAATCCTTCAAAAATTTTACATAAAGAAATGAAAGGCCAACAAATCTATGGCTTCCATGAATTATTTCGATTCTAATTGGACAAATACGGTAATTTAAAAACTGAAGTGAGGGTGGGTATGCCGTGTGTGTGTGTGTGTGTTCTTTTTTACACCCTGTTAGATAAAGCTAAAAAAAGTCCAATAAATCTATAGCTTGCATGAAATATTTTTTGTAAAACCGTAGAAAAAATTGTTTTATTCTTTTAATTCTCATCCCCAACATTTGCCATTTTTGATTAACATGTTTTCTCATTAGTTACCGTCAAGTCCACAGTTGACATTTAGTAACTAAGGAGCTGAAGTATACATGTGCACTAAGTGCGATAAACAAGACGTCTGTTAAACATTTATCGTTGTCAAAACTGGAGAATACAAAATGTTTCAGATCGATGCCTTATTCATTTTACCAAACAATTAAAAATTTAAAAAAAATTCTCCTCAATAGAGCTATAAAGTTGAAATGCCGAAACAATGATAGCAATAACTGATTCAATTTTAAAACTAAAAATTTATCGATCAGATTTTATTTCAGCCCCTTTCCACCTTAAATAGAAAAAAATCTAAAAAGGAAGGAAGAAAACTGGTCACATTTTGTGAGTTGAAAAAACCCAGAGACATTAGAAGAACACAAATCTATACAGGTTTTATTTAAAAACAACTCTTAGGCTGATTTTTGCTCTTCGACTACGTATTTGATTTGGCTTTTCAACTATTTTGATTTGTGTGCCACTGTTGTGACTAAAGTAGACAAATCGCGCGTCATGCGTACATAATTATAAGCCTTTCATTTTTTTAGTAGTCGTATTCAATACCTTTGTTTCTTTTTATTGTTTAAGGTTGAAAAAGGGGTCAGCAATTTCTTTACTGATGAATACAGAAGGTTCGAAACTTTGTTAAAGGAAACGATACATAAAAATGAAAATAAAAGAGTGGAATTCTACTACAGGTTGGTTACATGCATTCTAGATGGTTTAAAAAAAACCTGACAAATGATGCATGATTTCTTTTGTGTTTCTTGGTAAAAAAAAAATACTTAAAAATTCGTGTCAGTTTATAATAAAATTGTATGAACAAAATGAAAATAATGATTCTCCATTTTTGTTTTAAGACACCATTTGCATTTTTATTCTATTTCAAGTGGTTTGGAAAGGTTTCTCATGTGTCACATGTTTTATTTCGTAATTGATTATGTTATCATTTTGTTAAAGTTTAATTAAAAACTTGGAAACTGGTGAATACTTTATAAAACTTGCATTTTACAATTAATTCCAAATATACAGACAAAAAGAAAATTAAAAACAAACTCTCTTATTCCTATTTTCTAAAAGGTTTTTGAAAAATTTCATCCGAAATGCTGAGAGAGGTACACTAGCTAGGTTAAAACTATTGGAGCGATCAGAAGACGAACAGCAGCGAATCATGGATCAAAACAATGCTAAGATCCGAGATTTAGAAATGAAATGCAAGCAGGTAAATGGATGATTAATTCAAACAAAATTGTTTCTATTGGTTTTAAGTAGCTAACCTAGCAAAAAGGGTCAAGTGAGCTTTCCTCATCACTTGGCGTCCGTCGTCCGTCGTCATCATCCGTCGTCGTCCTCGTCTGTCGTCCGTCGCCATTAACTTTTACAAAAATCTTCTCCTCTGGAACTATTGGGTCAAATTTAACCAAACTCGGCCACAATCATCATTATTGTATCTAGTTTGACAAATGTGTCCGATGACCCCGACTGTTAACCAAGATGGCCGACATGGCTAAAAATAGAACATAGGGGCAAACAGCAAGTTTTTTCTATAATTTTGAAAACCGTTATAAAAAGAGAAAATCTGACAGGAGCAGAAATGTTCAGAATGTTGAGCTCTACCAATTGATTATATACCTCAAAACTGTCAGACGACTTCTTATAGGAGTTATTGCACTCAAATGACAAATTTTACCAATTTATTTTTTTCATTTTTGCCTTTTATCTTGAAAACTATAATAGATAGAGAGAAACTTCACAAGTCAAAAATTGTCGAAATCTGCTCCTTATTAGAGTTATTGCCCTTTGATGACGGTTTTTACCAATTTTTGACTGATATCTTAAAAATTGTAATAGATAGATAAAAACTAAACTAAGCAAAAATGATCAGGAAGACAAGATCTAAAATTAGGACAATATGGAGGAAATCGTCCGACGACTCCTTATTTGAATTATTGCCTATTAATGACCATCACTTATGTGATTTCCCTTAATAAGGATTTTTTACTCTCTTTTGTGTTTTGAGCTAAAACTAAAGAAGATAGACAGAAACTGATCAGATTGAATGATCAGCATTACAAGATTTAAAAAACAGAGATTTTTGTCATGAATTCTATTCTCGTCTACAATATTGGAGAGTGTCCTTTGTTGAATATGCACATATACAAAGGTGAGCGATACATGCTCTCTGTCTTTAGAGCCTCTAGTTTCAAATAAAAAGCTGCTTCCTGACTATAATAAAACATTGACAGCCTGCAAAAGGACGTAATATTCATATCTATGTCGTATATTTTGTGGATAAAAGTGTCCATTGTGTGTGACTTGTCAGTACAAATAGTCCTAAAGGAAATTAACGCACTTTTGATTAGTTATACAATCGTATCATATATCAATAAATTAAGCTGTAACATCAACCTTTAACCATTCGACAAAACTGAATACTATTTCCGATGTTTTAGAATCTAAAAACAATGGAATCAACTTACTGCAGAGAAATTGGTCATTTATTCTAAGACGGTTTACTTTGCTGCTCTTTTTCAACCCAGGTGATGTTTATTTTTAGTCTGAACACATGTAACAATTATATATAGTTTTTATTACTTGGTTCTCAAACATTTTGATCTGAGAGATTAAAATACCTAGAGAGTCATAAAATGTTATTTTACATTTAATTTTTTGACGATGATGTGACTTAAAATGTCAAATTGAAATTAAATGGATCCATTTGAAATTATAAGAACCCAAATAGTAAAATAAAAAAGCAAAACAAAACAACAAATTAAGAAAAATGAATAGAAGAAGACATATTTATGTTAAAAGTTGTATTTTCAAATATGTATTAATTTTTTTTAAATTTGCAGTCAAAAATAGAATTAGAATTCTATAAAACCGAAATAACTTCACAGCTTGCAGAAAAACTATATGCCTACCTTTACTCAAGTCATGGACGGGAAGAAATTTTGAATCCTCCTGGTGAAACTAAAATATGGGATGTCTCGTACAGATCAGTTGGGCAAGAAGTGCAATCACGACTTCAGAGTGGAATCAATCGATGGTGCGATGGTCAAGAAGTAAAATCAATTATTGAAGATGCAGACACAAAAATCAGATTAAGTGTCAATGATATAGAGTCGAAACTGCTGGAAATTGAGATTGAGATGACAGGAATAGACCCAAGAGTCGAAGGCAGTCGCGTTATTCTCGGACTTGGTCTTAGTCTTGGGCTTCTCTTTTTACCCTTTTCAATTGTACTTACGTTTGTTTTTGCTGTGGTATTTGCACCCTTATATATAGCTTGGGGCTGGGTTATTGGGTCGGCAGGTGTTCGTAAAAAGGCAGATGAAATTTATGATGAGTGTCTCGGGAAGATATCAAAGCTTGAATTACAGGAAAGTTTCGAAAAATCATTTGGTGTCGAATACGGTAAGGTGATTATTCGTATTTTTGAGGAAAGTGTGCCAAAGGTAATAGAAAGTCTTTTAAGTACAAATAAAAAGCTTCATGCCGAGCACAAGGCTATAAAACAAAAAAGTAAATCATTCATGCGATTAAAAGGTAAAATTCAGAAAATCCAGACAGCAACCGAAAATTTTGAAAGGGATTTTGAACAGCTTCATTGACTTTGATTGTGTCGACTAACATGAGGATGGTGTCAAAGATAAAACAGCATGAATGTGTTATCCTTTTTCAATTTGTACAAGTCTTTTAAAGTGTTTTCCTAAGATTATCCATATACAGACATTTTAGATACAGTCTTAGATAATTGATTTTTTTATTAGTTGTTATTGGCTTTGCACTAGCTGTCAGTATCTGCGAGTGCTCGTAGATCTGTATTTACTTTCTTTTTAGTCATTATGGATGAGGGATTGATGAGGGATTGATATATACCCTGCCACGTCCGGTCCTGTGTTTTTGTTTGATGTTTATCCGCTTTGTATCGATCTGATGAGTTAAGCCTTTTTCAACTAATTTTGAAGTTTGTTCTCATGTTGTGCTGTTACACCACTGTCGTAGGTAAGGGAGGTTGAGTGTTCACAAAAATGTTTAACCCCTCCACATACTTTGTGTGTTTGTCCAAAGTCAGGCGTCAGTAGTTTAGTGGTTGTCGTTGGTTTAGGTCTGTCATATTTGTTTTTCATATATTGTTTTGTAATAGATCAGACTGTTAGTTTTCTCAGTCGAATTGTTTCATATTTTTTATGTCAGGGCCTTTTATAACCAACAATTCAGTATGGATTTTTCTCAATGTTGTCGACCTGATGCATATAATTGCTTACATCCACTTCATTTGATTTTTGGTGGATAGTTGTCTCATTGGCAAGCATACCACATCTCCTTATTTTTATATTTTATATTTGATTCACAATTAAAAAAACTAACTTGAAAAACTAATTTTAGTAATTTTAGTTTGGTTTGTGAAATGTCATATTCGTACAATACGACCTCCATAAGTATATTTAGTCTTACATCAATAAGTAATTAATAATATGAAATTGATGGCATTACAATTTACTTTTAAAGACAATAATTATGGCATTCATATCGCGTTCACGAACTTACTCTCCAACACAAATTATATAAAGCGTTATTATATTGTTCTAGAATACATTTCTTCGTTTTTGTTTATACCAGAAAAAAATCCTTTACGTGAAAAAAACATAAATAATGTATTTCAGACTGAAAAAATAAAGTTGATACATTTCGTCATTTGGAGAGGGAGATTTTGTGAATTTTATTAACTTGTCTTAATTTAATCGGCTAACTTCTTGTATATTTTAAATGACTTTTTTTTTAAAAGAAATAAAGATAACTTTTTTTTTTCGCAGATTGAAAAGAAATCATTTACATTTTGCTTCTATAACATAAAATTACGTATGTTGCTTGCAAAAGTACCGTGTGTTTAAGATAATAATAATATTGTTGAGTGTTGTCATTTTGTGTATACAACTGCAAGATTATTAAGGCCCGCCAAATAGTGATGGTGTTGCCCTAAGGATTTAAATCTTCTCTGTGTTTCTTTCCGTCAGTCAGTCCTTCAATAATGCATGTGATAAATGGTAAATATAGTTTGCCCCAACTGATTTCAATAAGTTTTATACACATTTATACATGTATATAGAAAGGGTCAGAACCAGAAGTTGAGAATTAAAAATGAACAGGCAAATCGACACCTGAAATGACTTAAAGCATGGCACGAAATCTACTTAACTCAATTTTTCCTGACGAATTATGACATACGTGTTTTCCATTTTTATCAGTTGTAAATTAATATTTATGTACCCATTGAATACTTGGAGATGTTTAATGTTATTTACCATTAAAAAAAAGATTGGATCACAAGTAAAATGTTTTGAATTATTTTGCTTTCTTTATTGCATATAGTTCTGAATAGGAACTATGTATTTGATATTGAACAAGGTAGTTTGTATACTTGTCTTGTATTGATAAGAGTCGATTTGTATGGCCCCGCAACAAAGTTGTCGGTGCCATATAGTTTTACCCTTGTCCGTCATTCCGCAACAAACCATTATACGCATTTTTTTTCTGCACGCCTTCAGATATTGGGCTGATTTTGGTATGTCAGTTAACCATGATGAGTTACAGATCAAGTGTAAGTTTCGTTCCGCCCTGCTAATTTTTGCCGAAATTACAGGCTTTGAACGTTGATAAATTGTTGAAAATCACAGTTATACAGACTTTTTTTCTAAACGCCTTTAGATATTAGGCTGATTTTTGGTATGTGAGTTAACCATGATGAGTTACAGATCAAGTTTATGTTTCGTTCCGCTCTGCTAGTTTTTGTTGAAATTACGGGCTTTGGACTTTGATAAATTGTTGAAAATCACAGTTATACGGCCTTTTTTTTCTATACGCTCTCAAATTTTGCACTGATTTTGATATGCAAGTCTACCATGATGAGTTACAGGTCAAGTTTATGTTTAGTTCCGCTATGCTGATTTTCATGTCGTTTCGCAGTACATCTACTTCCTGTTTGCTGATTGTTTGAAATTTAACTACTCATAGATCAAGGAAATTGTTCATCAAACTAATATTGGTATTGAGAGCTGGATATTATCCATGCATGTTTGTGCCCACATGTGTTGTTGAAACTACAGATTTTTCAACTTTTTGAGCCGGGACCATTCGTGTCGTTCCAACACATCTACTTTGTTGTTGTAAAGGGCGTGATTTACAGCAGCTATACCTTCAATTTGCTAACTCGAACTGATAGCAGGACTTCAAGTATATTTTGATATCCGTAATAAGAGAAGAAAACACAAGTAAGTATACACAAACTGGATTTGCAAATGTTCTCGATAGGAATAATTGATTGATTGATTGTCATTGTTTAACACAATTTTCAGCACTATTGGATATATGGTGGCGGTCATTTATTATTGGTAGGAGTGGTAGGAAAAAAGGCAAACACCTTAGGCAGGAAAATGAACCCTCCTTGTCAATTAAGATTGGTGTCGAACGCGCCTTCCACGTGCCGTTTTCAATTCACAATCCAAGTGTTGACAGGCTAGTCGTACAATAAATGAACTACATAGACCACTCGGCCACCCAGGCCCTAAGATAAGAATAGCCATAGTATTGTAAATGCTAAGCAGAAAACACTTATAAGTAAATCTTTGATTCCATGATTGTTTTTATTGAATATTTTATTACTGCTAAATCTGTCAAATATATACTTCTAAAATGATACAATAGTATGCAATTGTACTGTCTGAAATAAATTACTTTACTATAAGTGCCACATGTGGAGCAGGAGCTGTATATCTTTCCGGAGCATCTGAGATCACCAGTTTTTTTAGGTTCGTGTTGCTCAGGCTTTAGTTTTTTATACTGTATCTTGTAAAATGTTGACTGTCTTTTAGTCTTTTTTTTTTGCCATGGCTTTGTCAGTTTATTTTCGACTTATGAGTTTGAATGTCCCTTTTGTATCTTTTGCCTCTCTATGAGGTACTACGTCCTACAAGGCATCATTTGATGTTTTATTTTGCTGCAGATCATGTATGTTAAATAATTTCGTTGTTTACGGTTTGTTTCAGCCTTCAATATTAAAGTTAAATATGCAAAATTGTTCACTGATCGTGTGTTAAGGCAATAACTCCTACAAATTTGTCCATAGTAAAGTATACTACAAAGCTAAAAACTGACCAACTCTATTTAATTATATAATGTAAACATGTTTACTGTATTATACTGTAAAACAAGTCATTGATATTAGTTAAATTTTTACACACTCTTTTTTTGTATCATAAATATCAAATGCAAGTGGGAATGAAGAATTTGTTATATCTCCGTTTTGCATGTTTTGACTTCTCAAAAACATATTTTAAACCCAGAAACGACTAATGTTGCCAAACCTTTGAACACTGAATTCGCGTGTATCGCTTCCCTAAAACAAGGAATATGGCTTTGATGTTCAGTTTCTGAAATCCCAAAGAGTCTCCACTTAAACGAACATTTCACTTTAAACTTGGGGATAGGTTTAAAGGTTATGCTAAGTTATATACTACATTTTAAGTTTTTGTTTAAGCCAAAACATAAAATAATGCAACTTCTTTATATAGAAAGAAGTTGGAAGTTATTTGTTATGTTCAGCATATTTGAGTTAATTATAAATCTATTATAGATTTTAGATGAACAGCAAATGACATTAACGATACTACTTGTACTGCACCAGATGTGCATTTCGACAATAAATGTCTCTTCAATGATTCGAGAGGCCAAAATATTCGAAAATCCAAAACTGAAGTTCTTTTTAAACCAAAAAAGGACAAAACATATAGCCAAAGCCGGCCAAGGAGTTAAAGCTTTGCATGAGAGAGATACATTTTATTAATTTCAAAGGCAAAAGTTGACTATGTAACTCCTACAAGGCGTCAATTTGTGATTTTCTAAGATCTTGCATTCCTGATTATTTATTCTGTTAACAGAGTCTGTCTATCTTATAAAATCACAATGATAAAACTCAAAACCTTATTCTATTTATATTAACTCTTGTATAGATTTCAATTGATTTTTCTTTTTTTTTATGCAGACATTTTTAGGATCCTATATTATCAGGTTTGCTGTTTACAGTTTCCGTCTTCTATATTAAACAAGAAAATAAGTAGAATCGGTCAAATTAGTTAAATAATGGCAACAGTAGTTTACCAATGTTCAAATCACATAAATTGATTAAGAAGACAAATAAAGCAAACAGACAAAAACTGAAGAAATAGCACGGACTTCAAAAGCAGCGAGTCCTGGTATATCGACAGGATAAATATCTCTTACTTCGTGGAGGCATGCATTACGCGCCATGCAAATGTATGCTTAGTAAAAAGGACACAATTGATTAAATTACAGATAAGACGACATTTTCGGTATCTATAGATCGCTGAAATCATGCCGTGAGTGAGTTGAGACACTGGCATATCGTATCGGTCAATCATTTTGTGATGGTGGCAGTAAAACTTAAGCAGTGTCGATGTAAGTTGTATGTCTTTATAACTGTATCATGTGTATGGATCGTTTTTTGTGTAAGGATCACGCCTCTCTCAATGAAAACCGTATAGTGTGACTAGCGTAACGTATCAATTGAGCAGAGTAAGTATGTTTCTACTGAGAAATGGACAGTTGAAATAATTACGTTTGTCATAGATTCATATTAAAGTCTTTCTGTTTTGTCATGTTTAAAAGGCCGAATTATGGAGCAGAATCTGATAAAACACTTAACGTTCGACAACATTGGGTTCCGCAATAAGCACTCACGTCACACATGAATATCTTATTTTTCAAATGTTCCCAAAAGATTCAAAGTACATTTTCATGATTAGTTTGACTTGTATCTTTTGGCTTATAGTTTTTGAACTAAAGCAGATCTGCCCCTTAGGTGGTCTATTGAAAGAACAATTTGTCCTTCTGCCATTTTGATAAAATAATCATAAATTTACTATAAAAAATACAGAGTGAGTACATACTTAACGTAGTTTCACTAAAAAGAACATATCATATTACATATATATACAAACTTTCCCAGCTGGTTATTCAAGAATTAACTAATTCTACCGAACCATTGGTTATTTTCTTTGCAAGATGTTGTGTTTTTGTCCACTTTCTTGTCATACATGTATGCATCTCAATGATATCCTTTTTCTACAAATTGCCCAAAACTGAACATGCAATTTGTTGAATTTTCTTTCAAAATTTCAGTCATTTTACAAAATGACTAGGTATTCTTAGTCATTTTATATAATGCCTGTCAAGGTTAGGCATTTTATAAATTTCCTGAAAATTCAGTCATTTTACAAAATGCCTAAATTTAGAAAATGCCTGTAACATACACATATATTTTGATTAGTAAAAATTGAAAATTGTGTATAAATATTGTATTAAAAATTAAAAACCAAGTTTGGATGAAAACCAGCATCGTTAAATAAGTTAAAAAACGTGCATAGGCACAAAGTATGCTGGGTTTAAGGGCATACGATACAGTAGCACAGCACGGGCAGAAAATAACATTTCAAAACGTTTCGTGTTGCTTTCTCGACGTTGTTAATAAAACCGTTGTAATTTCGCGATGTTTCTCTTATCTTTTAATCTTGAAATGTAAAAATAAACTGCTTCGCTGAGCGCAGCTGAATACGCCCGCAGAGGTCCAATCCTGAACAGTTGGAGCAAAAATGGACACAATATTCAAGCTTGATACAGGTCTGAATTTGGATTGTATTAAATATTTGACATATTATAGGTTTCTGAATAAATGTAGTCAAAGAACTTGACATTGGTTATATGAATTGAATTTATATCCAATTAAAGATTTCTTGCTGTTGCGCAATACTTAGTAAATCTGTTGTCAGACTATAAACAATTAAAGTTCAATTAGTTCTCAATGTCATATTAGAAATTTATGAAAATGTAAAGGGAGCTTACATCAATCGATATAAACAATTCACCAAAGTTTCATGAGAATTGCTGACAGCATTTTTGAGTTATTGTCCGAAAACTGGAAAATCCCCCCTTTTTTAATGAATAAAACCCCATAACTCAGAAATGTAAAATGTAAAATTTATAAAATTCTAAACGGAGCTTACATCAATAGATATAAACTATTCACCAAAGTTTCATAAGAACTGCTGAAAGCATATTTGATTTCTTGTCCGAAAACTGGAAAATTCCCCTTTTTTTTATGAATAAAACTCTGTAACTCGGAAACGTAAAATCTAAAATATATAAAAATCGAAAGGAAGCTCATGTCAATATATATAAACAATTCGCCACAATGTCTTGCAAGTTGGTGAAAGCATTCTTGAGTTATTGTCCGAAAACTCGAAAATCCCCCTTTTTTTAATGAATAAAACCCC